GGGGACAGTGAGATGTGAATGATTCCACGTTACCTTTTTCTTAACCCCATCCATGTTTGGATTACGATTCACTCTCTTTTATATCCCATGGCTACCGTGCGCCGGGTTTGTTACGATTTCTTCATGTTACCACATCACCTATAAATCCCTTAAACCCGGTTCTATTTTGGCCCAACTATAAGTCAGCCCGGTTTTATTTCTTAACGTTCTCTACTTCTCTTTGTTTAAATTTAGGGGAAATAACCAAATTAATCAAAACTAGAAGACTATTCGTATAATGTAGTCATAATGTAGTGAGATACATCTTGATTTTAATATTTTATTTTATTTTTTATCTCAGTCGATGTTATAATATGGTCTTATGTGATTTTGAAAAAGATGATGTTTTTATTTTTTAATAAAATATAAATTTGAAGATATCACAAAAAATATATCGAAATTAGTATCAAATTAATTATTTAAAATTTCTCATTTTTTGAGTAATTTTTAATTCATTTTTTTTATTATAAATAATTTAGGTTCAATAACGAAGTAATTTATATTTGGTTTAATAATATAATTTTCTTATAAAGATAAAAATCAATTATTTTGTTAGCACTCGACGATTATCCTAATTGTATTTTAGATTGTTTATATTTTAAAATGAGATGTTTGTCATGTATTTGATTATGTTTATCCGCAGTTAGTTACGCGAATTCAAACATAGAGCTTTAATAAGTTTTACTTGTGCGTAATTACTTGTAATCTTAAATTTTAAGTAATATGCATCAATATACGGTACTTCATGCATAAAAAATGATTTTTAAGAGTTTTTGTCAAATACTTTATAATATAGTATAGATACATACGTACAAAATATTTTATCAAATTAGCGAATTGTTTCCATGCATTTAGCCAAAATCCCATGCATTTAGCTAATCTTATGAGTTTATTTTACTAAATTCTTATAAAGTTGGAGCTAGAATTCCTCCTTTTTCGACCAAAATTTTGATAATTTTTGCTAAAATCTTGATTTTTTTATAAAAAAAAAATGGGTCCGAATACGCCAATCACTAAATGCCATGATGATTTTAAAAAATAGGTAAAAAATGGTTATATTATCAATTACCTATACATATACATATAGTATACTAGTTATTTTGATGATTTCCCCTTGAAACATATTCATTAAAAAATATAACATAATATAAACAAATAGAAAAAATAGTTATAGTGTCCTACCTTTTGTTTACAATATAAAACGTAAATTATAAATAATTATTTAAGTAATTAAATTACTGTTTATTAATTGATCATTACATAATAATTGATGTATTTTAAAATATTGTAACAAATAAATTATAAAATTCCATAAAATACTAATCATATCATACGATTTTAAAATCCAATGTTTATGTGATGGGAAGGATTTCAATTTTGCTTTCATTTACGTAAAACAAACATAGGATTAAAATAGAATCCAATCTCACATTCCGTAAATCAAAAACACATATTTACTAGGTGAAATAATAAATGAATACAATCCACCAATAACATTTCAAGAATTTTTTAAAGCCTATATATACAATTTTCTGTAGCATACCATTCTCCAAAATTCTCTTCAAATGACCAAACAAATCTATCCCGTTCCAAATAGCATTTGTATCAAAAAATTAAGAGATTTCATACTTAGTCGGAAAATATCTCTTCAAGTTCACCACTTTCCGAAGCACCGATCCGACCCAAATCCGTCTCGTTTTTTGTACCCAACCTTTGAACCCGACTCTTGTCTTCGATCTCGACATCTTCCTCATAAAACCCATCATGTTCGTCCTCCGCTACATCGTTTTTCTCATCAAACTTGACATCAGGATTTGAATGCATCATTGATTTGGACTTTGACTCGGAGTTTTCGCAAATGCAGGCCGCAGGGTTTTCATGGAACTCTCCCCGGCCTGGTTTGACCTCGTTCGGTTCACCCATAAATCCCATCTGATAAGCTCGAGTCGTCGTCTCAAATTCTTCCCACGTCATATTGTTCCGATCGACAAACAAACGCCAAAGCTTTTTAGCGTTCGGTCGGATTGTTGGCTTATGCCCAAAATACCTCCTAAAACGATCAAAATTCGATATAAGCATTTATATTCGGAAGATTTAAACTCCTCTCAAAAGTAACCAAACCAAACAAGCGCAATATATCTCAATGGAGGTGGGGTCTACACAGATCTGACCTCTACCCCAAAGAATAGAACAGTGAAGACCTTTGGCTCATCGGGGTTGGGTTGGTTTGGTTTGGTGGTATCTTACCTTCTCCCGGCTAACATTTTGGCCATGTTACCGTTGTTGTTTGTGACGAAAACGTCACTTTCATCACAAACGATGAAATCTAGAGCGGCCATACGTGAAGAATAAGATAAAAACGGCGCCATTTCGTTTTTGCTTGTGATGGTGTCTTTCGAGTGAATGTTCGGAAACAGAGCTTTCAATGGCGCTAACGTATCTTCACCTCCGTAAACTTCACCAGATGCCACGTATATGTGAATGTCCCTCCCATACCCTAATGCTCGTAGCATAAGCCCGACTTCCTCGGGAGTCAATGGACATCTCCCTTGCCTCCGTTCCCTATCCGGGTTCCTTCTCTGAATTTCAAAAATCCAGGTTCGTATTAGGGACGGCAACGGTTATGGTATGGATTGGACAAGGGTTATTCTCATAGACGGACCCAGAGGGGTGGTTAGGTGGCACGTGCCACCGTATTGTTCCTCCGTGGTAAGGTAAAAAAAATTAGGTTTGTGAAAGATGCAACCTTTTTATTCTAGAAGGTGCAACCATATCAAAAAATTATTGGGTCCGTCCCTGGTTATTCTGTTACTGTATCTATTTAAATTAACAGGTAATCAAATAGATAATTATCCATGTTACAAGACTTTTGGTCATATTCAAACCTTACTCGTTAGGATAAATTATCGACCTGTAAACTACGAAGGAACACTTACATGTAAAGTTTTCCACCGTCTTCGAATTTGTTGTAATTCTCGTCGTTCTTTATCTCCGCCGCCATAGTAGCACCCGGAGAAGGCAAGCATATCGGACTCGAATCTAAAACATTCGAGAATTCAGCAACGAGAGCATCATAGGATTAAGAATTTTTTTTTGAAGTATATAATATAATATTTGTATATGTAAAACCGACAAACAGTTCTGGTAGCTGGTCAAGACTGAGCTCTGGGCTCTACCGTTAACTCAGGTACCACAGGACCAATGACCAAAAGGGAAAGTACGAGAAATTTGAAGTGTACCTCAAATGCAAAGCAACGAAATGCTTGCTTTTCATCCTCATTCGTTGGACTAACGTTTTCCCCATTTCAACAATCGGGTCGGTAAACCTCAATGCGTGATAGTTGGCTCGGCATCTCAACTTCTGAAGATTCGTAGCCAACCGATTCGATAGCCTGTAATCGAACTTGGTAAGCATAACGGCCTGCAACAACACGAACCAAAATCAATTTCCGTAAACCAAATCAATGATCTCAAATGTCAAAATGTACCTTTCTTTTGTCGAGCAGAGGCACCATTCGAGATTGATAGCACCCTTGATTGCACTTTCGGGGAACTCGGGTTCGATATGGATGTACGACTCTCCCGTTGATGGAGGAGGGAAGCTCTTTCACAATCTTAACATCTTTCGAGAGGTACGATATGAACCAGTCCACATCAAAGATTTCAGAGAAATTACTGCACAAAATGGACCCATAAATAACCTCGGGAAAGTAAAGAATCCAATCGCTTTCAAAAGCACTCAAGTTATCGTGCATCATCGTCTAATTTATCAGCTAGACTTTTTAAGGTTATTACACACAAAATGGACCCCATAAACAACCTCGGAAAAGTAAAGGATCCAACCGGTTTCAAAAGAACCAAGGCTATTTTGCATTCGACTATTCTTTCTTGAATAATATAACTAACCTTTGGTCCTTCCAGTATGATTTTTGGTCGAGTTTTGGGACGACGAGGGTGGCGTTTAGTATATAAGCGGCAACCACGGCATCCGTTATCTGCAGTTTCACCGGCGATTAGGGAACCGAAACAAGAATGAAAACGAGTTATGAAGATCGTGATTACGTACCCCGGTTCGTTGTTGATTTAAACCACCACTCGTAGCAATCAATAGAAACCGATGGGGATTAGTTTTCATCTTACTTTCTACAAATTACAAATTAAATCAGATTAATCAAACATTAAATCAAAATAGAAGCAATTGATTATGGGTTTTAAATAAAATTACATATTACCTAAAAACTTTGGATTTTTTTCCGAGCAACCAGAGTAGAATTGCGATTGACTTGACCTCCATAGATTCCGGCCAACACTCCAGTCTGTTCTTGACGGCTTCAAATTGAGAATAAATTAAATAATAATAATAATAATAATACTTATTATAATAAGTCAAATGAAATAAAAAATCATCCAATTGTGGATAAATATATACATAAAACAGAACAAATCAAATGTAACGCTTACCGGAACAAGAAAAGCTGTCGGCTTTCCGGCATTTGACTGCACCTCGATTTCTTGATCGGACTGTAAGCAAAGAATATTAAATTTGAATGAATAATGATTAGGTCAAGATCACAAGATGAGATTTGAGATGGGTTTACCAAGCTTCGACTATGACGGAAATGGTGGTGGTTGATCGGTGGTGATAGAAACGATAAGACGGCAAAGAGGAACAGAATACATCCGGCGACGGCGGAGATGAAAGGGAGGAGATGGTGGAGGTGGATGCGACGGCGGTTGTAGAGTATTGCACTTTGTAATATACCAATAGCGATATAAACAGCGTTGTTGTGGTGGTGGGGTTTCTTCTTCATGGTGGATGGGTATGTTTCTTTAAACAACAATGGCGGAGCGGTGGCGGTGGCGATGGTGGTGGTGGTGGTGGTGGTGGCGGCGACGGAATGATTCATTTTCCGATGAGACCATGGCGTGGCAACCAAAAGAGCATCATGGTCGTCATCAACAAAAAAGGTGTTGCCATTGTGTGATTTATGGGTTTGATTCTTGCAGAGAGAGAATGTGGGCCAGGGACACCGGCCTTCACCTCGATGGAATCGGCAAAGCAAGAAATCTTGAGTTGGATTGCTGATACGGATGCATAAATTAAATATATAAATTATAATTACAGAAAGGACCCTGGAGTTTATTATTTTACATAAACACCATTATTGTGACTTCTCTTTACAGAAAAGTCATGAAATCACATACGAATTGTTCAAGTTTCCATTGTTGGCTTGTTTATGCATCTGACAAAAACTCTTAAAAAACTATTTTTTATACGGAAACTACTGTTTATTAATGCATATTACTTAAAACTCAAGATTACAAGTAGATTGTGCGTAAGTACAACTTATTAAAGCTCCATATCTCAATTCGTGTAACT